CCTCCCACACTCCAAAAAGACATGCTGGTAGGTTAATTGGATCCTGTTTAAATCAGCTCTAGTATGTGTATGTATGAATGTACCTGTAATAAATAAATAAAAAATAAATAAAATAGACTGTGTTATTTCAACCTCCTCACAACAAGTCATTGTAGCAAAACAGCCAGTCAACTACCCGTTCTTAATTAATGTGTTAAAGTGTCCTTGAGTTTGCTGCACATGTGTGTGCCAGTCGTATTCACACTGACTCTAATCACACTGTCATTGGAAAGCACAGATCACTGGCAAAACCTAAAGAGCCAATCAGAGTGGCTCTGTGCCATGTAATCACTGCGTACCAATCACAGTATCAACCACCTCCCGTCCCGCCATTGTATATAAACGGCCGGATGATGGCAGTGCAGGGGCGGGTGGCTGTTTATAAACGGCCTCCCTGCCCCCTGCTTGTGCGCGCTCCCTGGGAGTGTGCAGCACCGCAATCCGGTGCCCGCTGTGTCCTCCGGACACAGTGGAACATCGATCATCGTACGGGACTTCTGTGCGAGGTCCCGATCATGTGATCACTGATTGGCCAATCAGTGATCACATGCAGAATAGTAAGCAAGATGTCACTTCTGACATCATTGCTTACTACGTGTGAAATCTGTGAATGATCAGAGAGGTCACATGGTACAAGGCTATTCACAACAGCCTTGTACCATGTGACAAGCTGTTACCAATCACAGCTCACACAGTATTTCTCAATGGCTGCGAGAATGCAGCCAGAGAGAAGGAGAAATGATTGCTTTTACAGCCTTTGTGAGTGTAAAAGCAATCAGTGTAGAAAAAAAAAAAAATCTTCATCACCCCCCACAAGTAGTACAGTGTCACCATGGTGACACTGTAATGCTAGGGTGACAGTATGTAAAAAAAAAAAACCCATAAATAATAATATAAAAAAATAATATAAAAAATGTAAACATTTTTTTTTTAATTATAATTTTTGGTTATAAACTAATTTGGGTTATTTTTTTTTTACTAAAAAGATAACTGAATAAATTTTGGCCAAGATTTATGATGAAATAGTGTTTATTTGCAAAATTTTATAAGAAAAACACTTTTTTTCAAAATTTTTGGACTTTTTCTTTTTTATAGCAATAATCCCAGTGGTGATTAAATACCACCAAAATAAAGCTTGATCTGTCTAAAAAAAATGCTAAAAAATTCATATGGGTACAGTGTTGCATAACCGCGCAATTGTCATTCAAAGTGTGATAGCAGTGAAAGCTGAAAATTGGCCTGGACAGGAAGGGGGTAAAAGTGTCCGGACTTGAAGTGGTTAAAGGAAAAGTAGGGCCAAAGCTCTTTTTGCCATACCTCTCCTGTGGGTCACAAGAGTGCAATTAGGTCTGTACTCCTGTGACTCAGATTCAGCCGACAGTGGGCTAAATTTTGGTGTCAGCTGATGTCATTCAGGCGGTCCAAACTCTGGAGGGATCCTGACATGAATGTTGGGAACCACCCAGATGCCTGGCCAGCAGCTGCTGGCTCACCCTCTCAGCAAACCACTGAGAACCTGAGCCAGCCACTTCTGAAATCCAGTGAGGGGACAGAACACTGTGCTCAGAGTGGACCTGAAAAGTGAGTGATCAGCTGTCTTTGACTGCTCAGTTCTCCGGCTTAGAGGTGGCGGGGGACAGATGCAGCATTGGACTGATGCTGCATCCACCTAGGTCAGTGGTGGGCAACCTTTTTTTTCAACTGAGCCAAATCTCGCCAAAACCACGATTGAAATTTATTTTGAGAGCCACATTTTTAAAACTGAAAATACATAGGATGGTACACTGTTTTTAGTTTCAATAAGTTTTTATAGTAATTCATCCCCCCATAGTAATTCATCCCCCATATAGTAATTCATCCCCCATAGTAATTCATCCCCCATAGTAATTCATCCCCCATATAGTAATTCATCCCCCATAGTAATTCATCCCCCATATAGTAATTCATCCCCCATAGTAATTCATCCCCCATAGTAATTCATCCCCCATATAGTAATTCATCCCCCATAGTAATTCATCCCCCATAGTAATTCATCCCCCATATAGTAATTCATCCCCCCTATAGTAATTCATCCCCCATATAGTAATTCATCCCCCATAGTAATTCATCCCCCATAGTAATTCATCCCCCATAGTAATTCATCCCCCATATAGTAATTCATCCCCCCTATAGTAATTCATCCCCATATAGTAATTCATCCCCCATAGTAATTCATCCCCCATAGTAATTCATCCCCCATATAGTAATTCATCCCCCCTATATAATTCATCCCCCATATAGTAATTCATCCCCCATAGTAATTCATCCCCCATAGTAATTTCATCCCCCATATAGTAATTCATCCCCCCTATAGTAATTCATCCCCCATATAGTAATTCGTCCCCCATATAGTAATTCATCCCCCATAGTAATTAATCCCCCATATAGTAATTCATCCCCCATAGTAATTCATCCCCCATAT